AAGGTTGTGTCATCTGCATAATGGAGATTGTTGATAGATCTTCCACCAATCCTGATGCCACAGTTCTCCTCATAGAGCCCAGCCTCTCGGATAATCTGCTCTGCATACATGTTGAAAGTATATAAAAATATAGAAGAGTAATTACTGAGCCAGCAAATATGGAACATTTTGATAGATGCTGCCAAGTAAATGCTCTACAAAAACACATTACCATCCTGTATAGAGAGTGTAGCCATCAGGGTAAACTTGGTCTCCAGCCATGCTGCTGACCACCAAGGACAGTTACAGACTTAAGAGAGGTGGGCTGCACACAGGAGAGATTCCCACCAGACTACTTGAGAGACCCGAGAGGACCAATGCATAGAGGTAACTGGGGATGCACCTGTTCCTTCCACCCTAGAATGATAATAGATAAGGCAGGGGAACCTGGTCGCAGGCTGCTCTGTGGATCATAATAGACTTTAGGAGAGACAGGCCACAAGAGAAGATTCCCACAGTGCTGTGCTGAAGACCAAGACCAGAGAGAGCTTGAAGGACTTTAGGAAAGATGATTTTACCACTACACAGGACAAGAAAAAACTCCTTGTAGAGTGAGTTGCCCTCCCCAGTAAAGGGAACATTTTAAATCTGCATCATATAATCAGTAGCATCATAAAGATAAAAAACTGTCAACATCCTACATGGACACAAAAGAAACCTCCTCACACATACCAAGAAAAACTTCACATAATGTCAAGAAAGCAGCAGGCAGATTCAAACATTGTGAAAAAGTAAAACAAGCCTTCTCCTATAAAGCTGATCATATTTCAGACCCAATGAATATCCCAGAAGCAGGGAGGCAGAAGAAATATGTCAGTGTGGAGTTACATGAACAGCTACTTCAAGAATAAAAATCATAAAATTAATACCTAAGAGAAAGGGAACCAGAAGAAATATGAAGTCACATCCACATGGAGTAACAAGAACAAATACTTGAGAAATTTAAAATATTGGAAGAAAAAATTTGAAACTATAGATAAAGAGGTACAATAATTTAAAAATATAATCAAAAGACAGAGAAGATACAACCAACAGTACTAGATGTGCACGAAAATGCAATCCAGAGTATGAAGACAGAATGGCAGAAGTTTCCAACATGCTAGAGGGACAAGCATAAACACAGGCTATACACATGGACTTCACCTGATGGTATGAATGCACAGGAATCAGACCAATTGCATCTGTGGAAGGAATCATTGGAAATGTTCAATATCAGCAGTGAAAACTAGGCCAGGTACTGATTGTGTAACAGACCATCAACTACTCATATGCAAATTCTAATTAAAACTAAAGAAAGTGAATTCATATATAAAGGAATAAAAATTTGATCTTGAGTCTATACACCTGAATTTAAAAACCATCTCAGGAACAGGTTTGAGGCCTTGAACACTAATGAATGAAGACTAGATGAGCTGTGGGAAGATATCAAGAATATTGTCCATGAAGAATGCAAAAAGTCATTACAAAGAAGGAAGAAGAAAAGACCAAAATGGATATCAGAGGAGACTCTGAATATTGCACTAGAGCACTGAGAAGTCAAAGCAAAGGGGGGGAAAAATCAAGACGTTAAGGAGCTGAATAGAAGGTTTCAAAGGGCAGCTCGGGAAGACAAGACAAAGCATTATAATATGCAAGGAGCTCGAGTAAGAAAAGCAAAAGGGCCTAACGTACTTGGCATTTCTGAAGCTGAAGAATCTAAAGAACAAATTCAAGCCGTGAGTTGCAATGCTTAAGGATGATATGTGCAGAATATGGAATGATTCAGGAAGCATTTAAGAAAGATGGAAGGAGTATAAAGAGTCACTATATCAAGAAGAATTGGCTGACACAGAAAAATATTAAGGAAAAAAACATGATCAACAGGCAATGGTGATGAAGGAAGTTCAGGCTACTCTAAAGGACTTGTCAAAGAAGAAAGCCCTGGAGATTGATAGATTACCAATTGACATATTTCAACAAACAGATTCTGCCCTGGATGTGCTCACCAGATTTTGCCAAGAAATCTGGAAGACAACTACCTTGCCAACTGACTGGAAGAGATCCATATTTATTCCCATTCCAAAAAAAGATGACCCGACAGAGTGTGAAAATTATTAAACGATATTACTAATATCACACCCTAGCAAAATCCTGGTGAAGATTATCCAGAAACGACTGGACCATTAAATTGACAGAGAATTACCAGGAATACTGCTGGGTTTAAAACCTCTCCATTCCCTACCCCCGCACCTCCCTCAACCCAAATCTGGTAGGCCCCACTTCTTTTT